AAAAATCGTTAACCATTTCTTCAAACTTTTGGCGAAATGGTGCTTTATTAATTAACGATTTGATATTATTAGGATTCTTTCCTGGTATACAAAAAGGAAAAATACGTGTCGATCAGTTATATTTATCAATTAATCAAACAATTTGGCCGCTGAATTTCTGATTCTGGTACAGCGCCATCTAGGGAATGAAATTGTAACTAAAATCAATTTCGAAATTTTCAATATTTGCCATAAAAAATCCCATTGCATTCTGAACACAATGGTTGTTACCGCATTGCTCTAGCGCAAATATTCGCGGAGTTATTAATTTTTAAAGTTGTGCGGGACTTTTGGATCACCCTGTATAATATCAAAGTTTGAATATTTTTAAACTACATTTAATGTAAAATACCAATATTTTAGCATTTAAAATTTACATTTATTAATTATATACCAACAAATTTGACTCAAATAACACATTTTCGATTTATCCTTCAAAGTTCATTTTTACAACTCATTTAAACCACCTTTTTATATCCATTTATATACTATATTTATTATTCCACTTTGCTAAAAATGAATACAAATCAATATCGTGTCAAAATGTCATGTTTAAAAAAAGTTTAATCAAATAAAATAAACATAAAAGAAATTATAAATAGGAAGGTGTTAATAATCAAATGTCAATTAAAATCGAAAATGTTTTATTTTTTAACTTCAAAATATTTTCAATCAATATCACAGTTCTATTTTTAATATTTAAAATGCTGTTTTTTTTTGCATTAAATGTTTTTATCATTCATATAATGTGAGATAATAAAAGGACAATAACGTTTGAAGTTAAAAAAATAGAAGTGAATATATCAGAGAATATGGGATCAGTGAATTCTGACATAAATACTAGTTTCAGAAATTCAGCGAGTGAGCTTTAAAGATCATGGGCCCAATCCATGGACATATATTTAGTATACATTAAGAGGAAATAATCTAACCCTAACTTACTCCAGACATTTTTAAATTAATTCAATAAGGAATAAAATATATTTTAAAAAATGAACCTATTTTTCAACACAATTTGTTTCTTTCAAAAATTGAAAACTTCCTGTTGACCTTTTTGAGTTGGATTTTTTTAGAAGATCTAGGTCTCCAATAGTGAACCCTCCCAGCGGTTTTACCATTTTAGAATATTGTTTTATTTGTTAAGAGAATCCTAAATCGCGCCAGATAGTTTCATTCCTTTAATATAGATGGCGTGCTAAATGCACTATTTTTACTTAAACATATGAAGTTGACTTAAAGAACTGTTTAAAGAATACTTATCACTATGCAACAAATAATAATGGAATAAAAAAACTGTATAATATATGCACCTAATATGACGGTATATGTGATGTTTATATTCGCTTTCTCATTGGCTAAATCACGCTTCCTATCGACAGAAGACAATCATCTCGACGCATGCGTAATGCCACTTCATTTTTTTTTTTTGTGTTAGTCACGTCGTACACACGATAGTAGTCTCATAATATCATCACTATATTTATCGGTATTTCAAATTGTTTATTAGAGAAAAATTAAATGGAGATATTCTAAATTAAATACATATTTATTTAGTTATCCTTGAATTTATTTTTCGCATGTGAGATTATATATCAACATATATAGTCACGACCGTCTTTCCACCGTCAACAATTCCTCAATTCCTCATGTCACGGATGCGCGCGCATCATCATTATGATCATTATCATTATCTAATGATAATAATAATAATAATTATTATTATATTATTATTATTATTATCAACATATATAGTCACGACCGTCTTTCCACCGTCAATTCCTCATGTCACGGATGCGCGCGCATCATCATTATGATCATTATCATTATCTAATGATAATAATAATTATTATTATATTATTATTATTATTTTATTATCAACATATATAGTCACGACCGTCTTTCCACCGTCAATTCCTCATGTCACGGATGCGCGCGCATCATCATTATGATCATTATCATTATCTAATGATAATAATAATAATAATTATTATTATATTAATATTATTATTTTATTATTTTATTATCAATATATATAGTCACGGCCGTCTTTCCTCAATTCCTCATGTCACGGATGCGCGCACATCATCATTATGATCATTATCTTATATAGAATCTTCTATCTTTATAATTATGTATATTTACAAAAAGTCAATTCGCTCGCGCCTCTAGCGGTGAAAATGAGGGGTAATACCAGCTGACCTAATGTACATGTAAAGTTTGGAGCGGGACGTTTCACAAGAGTGACATCCACGGCTCCAATTTATAATTGTAACAAATAGTATTGGAATAAAAACATTCAATCGGGTAAAACACGGGCGTTGCCCGGGTCATTCGTCAACATATATAGTCACGACCGTCTTTCCTCAATTCCTCATCGCTGTCACGGATGCGGGCGCATCATCATCATGATCATTATCATTATCTAATGATAATAATAATAATTATTATTATTATATTATTATTATTATTTTATTATTAATATACTAGACGAATGGCCCGGGCAACGCCCGGGTTTTACCCGAGTGCGTATATATTTTAAAAACGTTTTAATTCAAATACTATTCGTTACAATTATAAATTGGCGCCATGGATGTCACTCTTGTGAAACGTCCCGTTCCAAACTGTGTGTTTTTAAAATGTTTTAATTAAAATACTATTCGTTACAATTATAAATTGGCGCCGTGGATGTCTCTCTTGTGAAACGTCCCGCCCCAAACTGTGTGTGTCTTGAAAATATAAAAATAAAAACGTGAATTTTCATAAAGATTTCATCATGTCGATTTTTTTTTGCATTTCACCTACTAAATCGATAGATATAATTACATTTGCAACATGAACTTAAGTATATTGACTAAATAGAAAACTGCATAGTAATAAAGATCATTTTTTAAAGGTACCATATCGTTTTTTTTTTCAATAAAATCGAAACAAAAATTAACGATAAATAACGATAATTGCCTTAAAAATAAATTGCCTTAAAAAAAAGAAACATTCGCGGTGTTTTTGTCTTGCATTCGTTTATACAATTATTATATACGAATGACCCGGGCAACGCCCGGGTTTTACCCGATTAAATGCTTTTATTCAAATACTATTTGTTACAATTATAAATTGGCGCCGTGGATGTCATTCTTGTATAATATATAAATAAGTTTTAAAAATTGTAAAAAAAAAATGCATCGGCCGGGAATCGAACCCGGGCCGCCCGCGTGGCAGGCGAGCATTCTACCACTGAACCACCGATGGTTATGAAAAATCCCATCCGTGAGCTTCAGACAAACAAACAGACAGAATAAGGCAAATATATAAGTAGATAGTCATTAATATATGTATATAGTCACGACCGTCTTTCCTCATCGGCCTCAGTCACGGATGCGCGCGCATCATCATTATGATCATTATCATTATCTAATGATAATAATAATAATAATTATTATTATTATTATATTATTATTATTAATAATATATATAGTCACGACCGTCTATCCTCATTCCTCATCGGCCGCCGCCGGCATTACGTCATAGATTATAAACACAAGGTAATAAGGCCAAATAAAAAAATAGTGTGTGATAAGGCACAATTTGGATTATCTACTTATATAATTGCCTTATTCGGTCTGTGTGAAGTTCACGGATAGATTTTGGTCAGAATGGATAAAATAAAAAAAGTGTCAAGGGATGGGAATCGAACCCACGACCTTCCGCTTACCGGGTAGATGCCATGACCACTAGGCTACCCTGGACATATTTTTCCGTTCACATTTTTATTTTTATATTTTCAAGACACACACAGTTTGGGGCGGGACGTTTCACAAAAGAGACATCCACGGCGCCAATTTATAATTGTAACGAATAGTATTTTAATTAAAACATTTTTAAAATATATACGCACTCGGGTAAAACCCGGGCGTTGCCCGGGCCATTCGTCTAGTTTTGGTATATATGTAAATATGTGAAAAATAAGAAAATAAAAATATAAAAATGGTCAAGTGTTAATATTAAAAACAAAAAGGGCATATATCCTGACAGCTCACATAAGCATTTTTAGATTGAAGAACGCCATCTAGTGGAACAAAGTTCAACTACACGTTGATTTAACTTGTTCTATCATATTTGGCCAACCTATTTTCTTAATAAATTAAGAAAACCAATCACGTTTATATTTTAACATTTTATATACAAATATATTCATATTTTCAAACCTCTTATTAAAATTTTATATCTGAATATATCCTAAAAACACATCTCGGACAATGTAATAAACAGAAAGTATCGAACCCTATATTTAAAGTAAAAAGATAAATGTGTTAAAAAATATACAATCCATTAAAAAAACACGGAGGCATATAAGAACTACATTTAATTTCTAATTACAAGGGATTGACAAGATGGCGTCTGGTGACACTGCTTCGACAAAAAATTACGTCATTATAAACTGCTAATTCATCCAATCAATAAATCTTTAATGAGTTTTTAACAGAGCAGACGATATTTTTGACCTGTCGTTTGGTTAGATATACCTACCTTGAGTTAGCCCTTTGTGTGTTGAGACACAATCCTTTAACTATAAATATAAAGATATAGTAATGATATTTAGATTGGTTAATAATTTTTTGATTATTTTGTATATATGTTTTATTCCTTTGTTATATTTTTTATAATAATTTAGTGAGTTACTCTCTTTTTTAGTCTATTTATTGCGCGATTTTTTCGTATTCGTAGCATTATCAACATGGATAAGAAAATGGCCTAATTTTGTCGGTTAATAGTTTAATTTTTTATAATAAAATATAATGCGGCTTATGATTGTAAAACGACGTTTGACAAGTTTTACCGCAAATGTTTCTTTTGAAAGAAAATTCGTAATTTATTTTAAGGAGAAATAACGACTATTTCTAACCTTGAGGATGAGGTATGAAAGGATGAATTGTGAAGAGTAATGATGAACGGAAAATTAAAGTTTCCAAGGATGGGAATCGAACCCACAATGTTCCGCTTACCGGGCAGGTGCCATGTCCACTAGGCTACCCTGGGAACATATTTTTCCGTTTTTAAATATTATATAAAGTTAATTTATAATACAATATAATGCGGCTTATGATTGTAAAACGACGTTTAACGATGCCCTCAGCTTTTCTGCTGAACTGTAGAACTGGTTGTGTAAATTGACAAAATTCACATCGGTCATTGAAACTGAGAAATACTTGTAAAGATTGTTATGATGAATTGAAGCTCTATATGTAATGATTAATTATAAATATTTTTAACGAGTATGATTTAAAAAAAACAATTTCCTACCTCCCCCTTATTGCAATGATAAAATAATGGGAGGGCCTGACTCATCAGTGGTGAACCCTCCCAGCAGTTATGTTGATAGGGATGTGAGGCTGCTCTTATTCTTATCCCCCCCCTCCTTATCCTTGAACAATGAGGACTTCAATGGAATATCTCCAAATTCCTTTATTTTTCTCATAATGTGTTATATTTTACAAAATTATTTTCCCTCAATTTACACTCATGGACACAAAACTTAAGTAAGTTGTACCTTTTAGCATGCATATCGAGATTATTAATAACTCTGAAAGATATTTGATACACAGTGATCTTTATTGAAGACACACTATATGCACTAATGGATAAACAAAACATAAAGAAGTTGTTCCTTTTAGCATGTATATCAGGATCCATACAATAACTCTGAAAGATATTACAGTGACCTTTATTGAAGATACACGAGACAACCAAGTGTAAACAACAGTGTCTCCTTCAAAAAAATAATAATAATAATAACAGACGACTCCGGCGACATTAGAAACTTTCCACTTCCTTAAGTTTTGTTTATGAATCTATTAAAATATATATTTTGTTGAATAAAATAGGTTGAATAATTACTGAAGCAACGAGTGTCCAGTGTGTATCATATTAATTTGTCCCAATGCGCGCCGTTGCGTGCCCAGAGAAGGAGGAGTGTAGATTCTTGGTAACTAGTAATAAGTTTCGTTTTTCCACCACATTCATTCAAAGATATAATCGAAAATACCAAAATAAAATAATAATTATAATAATCTAGACGTGTTTAAACACCAGTTTAAAGATAATCAAAACACTGCTTGTAGGTAAATCGTTTTTAATTATTAATAATTAAACCTTTTTTGCTGGGGCCAAACAAAATAATCAATTATTAAATTTCCGGGTATTTTTCAATTAACAAAATAATGCAACCTTTTAATTATGGGAATAGAGAGAGAGAGAGAGAGAGGGATCTGGATTTTTTTTTATTATCGTTTGGCGTGAAATAATTAGTGGAGGCAGACGAATATTGGAATAATCGTCTGTGATTAATTGTTCGTGGAATTTATTGCGCGGTTTATAAGGGGGAGAATCTTCTGCTGTCTTTGCTAAGCCTTTTTAAAATAGGTTTTTAATTAGATGTTAATTGTAAAAGAGACTTATTTTTCCTTTACCTTTTACCTTGTAAAGGGGAGGAGAGCAATTTAAATTATTTCTACGAATTATTTGGTGTTTTTTGATCATTGTTGTTTCCGATATTGTTTGACTATTTCTTGAATATCTTTAGAATATTCTAATTGGAAAGTTTTTTTTTAAATACGACCTCTACCCCGGGTAATTGGCCTCCTTCGCTCTAGGACCTTGGGTTATAAACATCTCTTTACGTTATCTTTGAGTAAGATTTGACATTAACGTCGTGCGCTATTCATTGAACGTTAATTCCTACAAAATAATACGACTCAAGATCAGCCTTTGATCTTGGTAATGTTAGAAGGGTGTAAACCAGCTGTTATCTATCTATATAACCTACCACAGATCTCACCATAAGTTCTGTAAGAATTCCCAATTCCATCAACTCAATAAGCAATCTTGAAGATAGAAGTTACCTGGCTGGCATTTATATATCTAAAATAATATACATTTCGGTCAGATAAACAGAAAATAAAACTTTATCTGACTGAAGTATCTATCATTTTATAAATAAATAAGAATTGTATTTGTTATAGTAGACGAATAATTGCGCTGCAAATATTAAAAATAAAGATACACAACCTTTCGCAATGAGTTTCTTTTATTACAATAAACGCGAGCTTTCAGGCTGGAACCGCCCTTCTACAGGCAAAAATGAACTATTTGATTTTTTGAGAGACAGTTATATACATTTAATTTGTTACATGTTTTAACAGCTTCCTGATTTATATAGTAAAACTTGTAACAAATTAAATGTATATAACTGTCTCTCAAAAAATCAAATAGTTCATTTTTGCCTGTAGAAGAGCGGTTCCAGCCCGAAAGCTCACGTTTATTGTAATAAAAGAAACTCATTGCGAAAGGTTGTATCTTTATTTTTAATTGTATTTGTAAATGTGTGGATTGACTGTTCCCTGAGATACATGATCTCCTGTCAAGCCGGCAATTTCTCCTCAATTCCACAACTGGGAAGCTTGGAACAGTGAATGTGTGTGTTTGATCAGTTAAGTTTATAGCCATTGCCCTTGTGGTATATTTGGATGCTATAAAGTTTATATTTAAAACTTATCCTGACCGCTCAAATTAACATCTGGGATGGCAGAGCGAAGGGATGAATTGATCTATAAAAGCATAGAGACTCTCCCGTCAAAATAAACTTCAAAACTAGACGCTTTAATATAATATAATAAGTTCAAATATATTTAAACATATTATATTTTGAATTTATAGGTAGAGCACTGGAAATATGTAAAATTAGATGTATATTACATATTTATAAAAAACAACAATGTTGGTCGATGGACAAATATATTTAAACATAATATATTATATTACAGACGCCATCTATTGACCGTCGCCGAAAACTAGCGGCCTGTTACAAAGCCACAACACCAGCTTTGGCAAACTGAGAAGCGTTCACCTAGAGACCATTCGAGATAATGGCCCTTGTCAGCTTAGGAAGGACTTTATTCCATGAGATCCAACGGAATGTTCATAATATGCAGAAGAGGTGTTTAGCTGGCAAAGTGGCTAGGTCAAATCTATGGCCAAAATATAGATGGAGAATTTGATGAAGATGTTAATGGCGTCGAGTTTTGACGTTTATTTTGAGAAGAGAGGCGCCCTATGCTTTTATATGTAAATATGTAAATATTGAGAAAGTGGCATGTCTCGAATGGCCATGTCAGGATAGCATAGCATCATTATTGAATATAGATATGAAGATCATTTGTTGGTTTGAAGTTGATTCAGAGAAAAACACAGCCACATCAACCTAAAGTTTAACTCCCGACGTCCCAACTCCTATTATTCCACTGAAGAGAGTGACAGAAAGTCACTGAAACTTCGGGAGTTTAAATAAACTGTTGGTTGATGTAGCCGAGTTTTTCTCTGTATTATATATAGAAATATGTACTCATATATGTAAATATAACACACATACAAAAACCTTTATTAGGCATTTGCCCATACAGATTCTCCCAATTGGGTAAGGTAATAATCATCTTTAGTTATTTACATAGAAATTGAACTGGCTTTACTCTTCGTCACAAAATCATTCACTTGTTGACTGGTCATTACATAATGATGATCCAAAAAATAATTATAGTAAGCTATTGCCTTAGATTTGTTTGCTGATATCTTTGAAGGCAATACGTAGGGTGAAGTGTTGGTACATTTAATTTGTTGATATAGGGCCTTCCTTTCTACATCAAGGGCTGTACAATTAAGCAGGTAATGGAGGAGTTCTTCAGTAATTTCCTTGTCACACAGTGTACATATTAGGGTTTTGGCCTCAAACGTCAGAACCTGTTTTTTTAAGACTTTAAATAGTATTCTCGATTGAGCTATACATCGTTTGACTGGTAAAGGGAAATTACCGGTTAGGTAGCATTCTTTTTCTATTGACGTATGGAAATTTTTATAATGTGGATAAAGTTTTGAAGTTCTTATTCTTGATTGGTCTTCTTGTATATGTAAATAGAACAGAAGCTTTCAAGATAATTAAAGGGAAAGTTAATTGGAATGACCAGAAATGAGTGGCGGCTATTTTAAATGAATTCAAATAAAGTCTTCTTTGTGTTTCAAGCCTTAATTAATTTTAATATAACGCCTTGAGAGAAATATGATCTACCAGCTTAATTAATATTCTCTCTGTATTTTTTTAATTATTATAATTATCATAATTGTAGAATATATAATTAAGATTTCTGGAAGCGTTATATTTAGAGAATTCCACAGAATATATTTACTTATATTTATCTTTTGGGAAGAAATTAGATTATTTAAAATTATCGTCTGCCCAAATATTTTAGGCCTTTTTTAATAATTGAGTTTTCATCATTAACTTAGGAATATATTACAAAAGTGGAAGAGAATAATTATTTTTTTAAAATCGGAAATACCATTTTAAAAAAAGTATTTAAAATGCATTTATTATTTATCAAAACAATACATTTATTTGAAAATCTTTGCTCAAAGTGCGTAAATATAGATTAGTGAAGATATCACACACCTATTTGGCCAATTTCAGCAGAATATTTATTATATTGTCGCGGCTGACCCCTCCGGTTCTCTGCGACGATGCGCTTCTTCCGCCGTGGATCACCTGCCCGGGCTCCCGTTGCTCTTCTTTGTAGCTCTTTCCTGCAGGCCACCCAAAGACGTCCAGAAGAGCAGCAGCAACGATGATGGCGAGAGTAACGACAGCAGGCGGCACCAAGACTTCAAACACTACCCTTTATTGTCTTTTACTACTAAACATTACAGATAAATGGGATAATAAACAATGGGTATTTACATTATGTCACATCCTGGGGCCAACATAAAAGTGTATTTACAATCATTTTCCCCAGGAAACAGGACCACAGCAGTCGGCGATTCCCACATCAGTTAGAGAAGCGAAACAGGCGAAAGCGCCATCTATTGGCGGAGGTTGTAGACATTTGGAGGCTTTACACGCGACAATATTAAGAAAAAGGAATCTCCTGATCGTAAAAGCCAAAATTGCATATGCTTTGCGCCATCTATCGGAATAAATATCAACTAAACTCATTG